GGTTTTGCTTTGTGCTGTTGACTTTATCTTCATATCTAAATACTGTTAAAGAATAAATATATATTCTTAGTACTTATTTTCTGATTATATTGTTTTATGTATTTCAATAATAAAGGCCTGTATAAAGCTTTGATTCAGCTTTGACTCACAAACCAAGTGCTCAGCCAGATTGAAAAACAGGAAGTCTTGTGCAGAGCTGCAGAGGCATATTAATAAGGCATATTAATAAGGACAGGAACATGCAGACAGAAAAAAAGTGGAACTAAGCCCCCCCCCCCCCCACACACACACACACACACACACACACCAAGTTAGGCCAGAAGAAGTTGTTTTGTGTGACATATGACCAGTGTTGGGTGTAATGCATTACTAAGTAACGCGTTACTGTAATTAAATTACTTTTCCACTGAAAAAGTAGAGTAACTTATTACTGTTCATTTTTAGGTATTTTAATTACAGTTACTTACAATGTACTTGTGTTACACTGTAAAATAATTAAACTCGCTGAATATCATTATTTAATTTCAATAATTTATCTTCTAAACATAGAAGTAAACTCTGCTGCTTTAACATCATGCACATCATTTCGCGCCAGTTTGCTGCATAGTCGTATTCTAAAGTGGAAGATGTCGGACTCGGCTGAAGCTAGTGGCTGTTTTATGAAATGGACATCTCTTCACTTTTCTAAAACAAGCAGATAATAACATTACAGTAATATGTAAGCTATGTCCTGGGGAGAAAAAACTATCGGCTGCTGTTAATAGCATGAGTAATCTACTGAAGCGCCTGACACGAAAGCATAGACGAACACTTCTGAGTGATCCTTGTTCATCATCCATGGATAACACCGCAGCAACTCCTGCTAAGCAGGCAAAACTTGATTTTACTTCAGCAGCACAGAAAGCGTCTGAAGGTGAGCTTAAAAAATGATTGCAGGCTACATTGTGGAAGACATGCTACCGCTGCGTACTGTAGAGTCTCCGTCTTTTAAAAAAAAGTTTATTATTTAAAGAGTTTAATTTTAATTAAAAAAGTTTGTCCACTAAAGGTTTATAGGGAATTTAAGAAGTATTTAGTTAAATTACTTATTTAGCAATTAACTTACTTTTCTGACACAGTAATTAGATAAGTATTTTAAATACAATATTGACTAAGTAATTCGTAATTAATTACTTTTTTAAAGTAACTTACCCAACACTACATATGACTAATTATATATACACATTTTGGCTTCTAAGGCCAGAGATCTGTAAATGGCTTTGGGCTGTGCACGTCTCTCTTCCGGAAGATGACTGAATAAAATAATTATAAATACTTTGACTAACTGAGTCGTCTTCTCTCTGTCCAGTAAAAGAATAAAAGAACAGATTTAATAATACTAAGAGAAAAATCATTTGTATCTACTCATCAGGATATGGATTTCTGTTTACATTTATACTGTTAACTGGTAATTATGAGATAATTAATTTAAGGTCATTTTTAGAGAAAGATGTACGCCATTGCTTTTGGAAAGGTATTCTGTGTGATATGTGTAATAATAACTTTTGTTGAGTAATGACCCTAACACTGAGCACAAAAAAGAATGGTAATACTTCCAACATTCACAAACGTGTGAAAGAAGTTCATTTGCAAGAATATCTTTCTTGCTATATCTTTGATATCTTTGATAAGCTGCTTAGAGAGGGTGGTGACTCAAAGCAAAACCAGTAAGAATGAGAATTGATAAGTGATATTGATAATGAAATGAGAATTACTAAATTCCTATCAATTTCCATTTCTACTCCTGATGACACCCAATTTGTGCTCCAGTGGATGAGTCAAACCATCGATGCCGTCAGTATATTTTGTCATAGACTCCTTTGTGTGAAGCTGGAGGATGCTAGGATGTTCCTGATGGTTAGGGACAAATGCAATCGCATGACAGGACGCTGTAAACGGACGAAACTTCAGTCAGGAGAACAACTGAGATAATCCATCTACATTACCAGGTTAGTCATTAATTCACTGCTGCATGGGCTGGGCTGTAGTTACATCGTAAGGTTTTAAAAACTGAGCTGTAAAAAGAATAGAGGTAATAAAAACTGACAGAGGCCAACAGTGATTGCTTACTGGTTTTAGGGCTTGTTGAGATTAAATAGGAAAAGATACAAAGCATTAAAACATTTTAAAAACACAAAGACCTTAATAAACGCAGGGTAGTTTGGGCCCAGAAGCACGGTTCATCGCGTGATCACAGCCTAACTAGACTAACAAGTTTGCTTCAGGACAGAAAATTCTGATCAAGACATGGAAATATCCAACTGACACTGGCAAACAGAAAAAAGCTTTAATAGATTATGTGTGGTATGATCACCTCCAATCACTCATCACAACATACTCAGCACTGGTTTCAGAGAACAAAACAGAACAAACTTTTTTCTTTAAAAAGACTAAAACATTTTAGAGGATTAAAAGTATAGTTTGCAAACTACACTTAGGCTTTAAATGTTTTCTTTCTCTGACAGTGGCTCAAATGATTGTGACAAGAAGCCAAGGCATGACAGTTTAATGACATAGTTAGTAAAATGTCATAGGTTAGAAATACAAAAAGTATTACAAAAAGTATACTTTTTCAACATGTTCAAAATAAAGATTCAATCAATCAATCAATCAATATTTGTAGTCACCACCCAATGTGATTCTTGTCATTCTTGTCACACAAAGAAAATGTTTTTTTCTTCTTTCCAGTACTTTTCAAGGTGACTAGCCAGACAGTCTGTTCTATATTGTTATTATTATTTCTATTATTATTACATTTTATGTGTACAATTTCAAATCACAACAACAACTGAAGAAGAAGCTCTCAATTCATCATGGGAAGCCCCCAAAAGCCTACACCTATTGCATTGTAACTAAGGGAGAATTCTGGGTCAATTGCTCCAGTTTCAACTATAGGCTTTGTCAAAAGGAAAGTTTTAACCCTAATCTTAATAGTAGAGAGGGTATCTCTCTTCCAAATTGGGAGCTGGTTCCACAGAAGAGGGGCCTGTAAGCTGAAGGCTTTCCCTCCCATTTCACTTTAAAACACTCTAGGAACCACAAGTATGCCTGCAGTCTGTAAGTGAAATGCTCTCACAGTGATACTGGAGGCCAAGATAATGTCATCCAGAGTAAGAATAGAGGCCTGGTAGAAATTATTTGATTCAGGTGTGGTGACCCAGGGTGAGATCTAAACCCTGCAGGACCATGGCTCTCGAGTAGTGATGTGTCGGTCGTGAACGAAATGGCTCTTAGAGCCGGATCTTTGACGTTAACGATGCGAGCCTTATCGCGAGCCGTTGGGTTTTCTTTTCTTTTCTCTCACCCTCTCTCTCGCACTTTTTTTCCGCTTCACTCCGCACACGAGCCTTGTGCTTTGTCCTGGGATGACGGGGGACGGGCGGTAGTTACACTCGCAGTAGCATAGGAACGGAGCGGGAGAGAGAGAGAGAAAGAAAGCCAGGGACAACAACGTCACATTAGAAAGGTATAGTAATCATCCACAACTATTTTCAGTTGCGGATGATAAAGGATTCAGAAAGTTTATTCATGCAGGCCCATATGACAGAGAATGTGCATCTTCTTTTTGTTTTCATATTTCAATTTATATTTAATTGTGTTGTGGTTTGCAGTGTTTTGTGTTGTTTCACTTTAAATTTGTTTATAAGGAAAAAGCTGAAAATTTCTTTTTAGTGAGCCGAGCCGAAAGAGGCGGTTCTCTAAAAAGAGTCGGAAATCCCATCACTACTCTCGAGGACTAATGTTCCCTACCCCTGATTTAGATTGACATTTGTAAAATGCAAATCAAGAGTTCCAGTGAGTCGCAGCCAAATACAAATTCAGTACTACCTATATATGTTGTTATGGAAAAGCAAGAGAACAGGTTTCTATTGGGCATGAGGCTGCTTGTTAGTCAATTGCCAGTAATTACCTCTAAGCCAAGAAAATGAGGAACTACACTACAAAAGTACTTTGCCAGCTACACATTACACCTATAACAGCTGCTTGACTCTGGAAACCCATGCCATGAATGTCCTGGCACACAGCTTTTATGTTGATGTTACTGTCAGAGTTTTGGAACTTTGCAGTTATCGAATCAGCAGATTGTTGGCAACACAATGCGCTTCAGTTCCTAGCTGAGATTCTGTCGTTACCAAGTGTTTCTCCTTTGCAAGAATCACAAAGAGACCTACAATTTGTGTCTTGTTAAACCTGTAAATAACTCCAGGAGGTATTTTCTTTTTCTGATGCTTCTTCACCCTACTCTGGAATTCAAGTCAAGAGCCAAACCCAAAACCACAGAGCACACTATCTGTAAATATTTGTAATTAAGTATAAACCTAGCATACTTTAAAATGTTATAAAAAATACTGAAATTAAAAGTAGCAAAATTAGAAAGTAGTAGTGATAATTTTCAAAGTACTTTAAGAAACTAGAAAATTGTATGTCAGTGATATATAATAATATCTGGGATTAACATATATTTTATACTTCTTTTATGTGTGATTTTATGTAGAAGTTACACAAAAACCTAGACAAGTCTCCACTGTTAGTATTTATACATGTGTTGGCTGCACTTTTGGTGATGTGCCTTTACAGTTCAAGCAACTTGCACATCAGTTGATGTAAAGATGAAAAGAATTAGAAAGAAAGTAGAGTATCCATCTTTAAAAAAAACACTACTGCAAAAAGAAAATCAGCTCTGCAAACCTAAGGTGATCATTTTGATCTGGGCGTAACATTTTCAGTTTATTATTTTAGTCGATACTTTTAGGTGTTGAGACATGGAATGAAGAGATTTGCATTTTGATCTGACTTCAGGATCAAAATCTGACTTAGATAAACATGACAAGTGGTTGAAGCAAGGAATTAAATTCAATTATAGTTCTCATGGATTAATCAAACAAAAAACATGAAGTCAAACCTGAAAAGCATGTTGCAGGTGTTGCAGAGGCGGGTCATCATAGGGCTATAAAAGACAGTGCATCCAAGAGCATCTTCCTCTTACTTTCAACCTGGAAGCGTTCGTCATTTGAGATTCAACTGTGAATTTGACTCCACTCAGAATATTAGCCTGTTAACTTTCTGTCGCCACTATGTCTCTGCAGTTTGAACTGTGTCCTGGCAGAATGATCGGGGGCTCCCATCCATGTTTCATTATTGCTGAAATTGGACAAAACCACCAGGGAGACATTGAGATTGCCAAGAAAATGATCAAGATGGCAAAGGTAAATTTAGGATGTGATAGTCTGCCTGTGAATGATGATGAAAAAATATTTGAACTGTAAAATCACTATCTTGCCTTGCTATCTCTTCTCATCTCTTCTCTCAACAGGACTGTGGTGCTGACTGTGCCAAATTCCAGAAAAGTGAATTAGAGTACAAATTCAGCAAGCGAGCCTTGGAGCGCCCCTACAATTCAAAGCATTCCTGGGGGAAAACGTACGGTGACCACAAGCGTCACTTAGAGTTCAGTCATGATCAATTCAGGGAACTAAAAAAGTATGCAGAGGACATCGGCATCTTTCTCACCGCCTCTGGTATGGATGAGGTATGAGCTGCAAATAACCATGATTTTCATTAAAGTTTTATTACTTCTGATACCTTTCTGTTTTTCTTAACCTGATAAACAAAACTTAGAACAAAACGTACAGTGTAGTGTAGTGTTGTCTTATATGATGATAATGTCACCATGCATAGACTATCAGCGATTAATGAGAGTTTTGATCAAATTGAAGTGAATTAGATGACCTTCGCAGTTACCACATCATATTTTGTTCCTTAAATATCAGGTTGTATTTACCTAATTTTAAGACCTGCCAAGTACCAAGTGATTTTTTTTTCATTCTTTCCTGAAAATTCAGAATTAATAGAATGTTTACTTTTTTTTTTACATGAATGTAGCTGAATAACTAACACATAGAACAGTACATATATCACAGATCACTGATGATACTCTGTGCCTCAATTACCTTGATATTCATAGATGGCTGTGGAGTTTCTCCATGAGCTGGATGTGCCGTTCTTCAAAGTTGCGTCCTGCGATGCAAACAACTTCCCATATCTGGAAAAGACAGCCAGAAAAGGTACAGGCCTTTGTTGTATTACACCTCAACAGCACTCTTGCCTCAATGTTAAGGAAACATGAAACTGACAGTGTGCAGTGAATTAAACACTGTGTAACAAGGTGGGTGTGGTCCTTTGTAAAAAAAATAAAAAAAAAAGAACGAAAAGAAAAATGAGAAACTGCATTGGACAGGTATAAAAGTGGGCAGGATTAAAAGTGTAACAACGGCGATAAATTTCAAACAATAGCAATGGTCTCCTTCACCGGTTCTCTAGTTTTTAAGCTATTTGTGGCTATTTTCTATTCAATTATTGATTCAGTTCATCAGTGTAAAATCAGTGAGCTCATGTCATGCATGAGAATGTGTCTCTAAGTTGAAGGGAAAAAAAGGCCTGACCATATATGCTAATTTGAGTGTTTGTGTGTGTGTGCCCCGGCCCACGGCGCCCCACATACATCCATGTGCATGCGCACAAACACAAACGCGCGCACGCACGCACGGACACACACACACACACACACACACACACACACACACACACACACACACACACACACACACACACACACGGATGGATGTTTTTTTCGAAATTCTATACGCGAAAAGTGAGCGCGAGAGCCCTCGGTGCGCCTGCTTGCTGCTGAAGTCAAAGTAAACTTTATTGTCATCTCCGCTACAGTACAGTATATATAGAGAACCAGAAATAAACCCTAGACAAAGTGAATCAGTGAACTAAGGTGTAGGTTGTAGGGGAGGGATGGGTGTTCATACTGGAGTGCAAAATTAAAACCAATGGAAGATGGACAAGAAAAGTTCAAAGCCATCAGGTCCTCAGTTTAGAAAAAAGAGAAAAGAAGAGGAGGAGAAACGAGCAAAAGATACAGGTAAGCAGATGTGTCATTGGATAATGGCAGGTCATCCTGAAACAATCAGAATCAGAATACTTTATTAATCCCTAAGGAAATTATGTGGGTTACAGTTGCTCCAAGAAGAAATG